AGGTTTCTGCATAATGGTAGCAGAGAAACAAGCTGGTCAGCCCTATAGGAAATAATTTCCCCATTCTTACTGTAAACTCCTATTACCCAAAGGCAAGTAATTCGAATCTACCAGCTGTTCCTCTGGAGAAAAATGGACAGTCTCCTCCCATGCAATTTACTGCTTCTGAAAACCCACTGGAGTGTCAGCTATGGGTTGGTTCCAACTCCACAGTTTAGTACACAATAACATATATATACATATACACATTTACACACACACACACACACATATATACACACATATACAAATTTACATATATATAGAGGGGTGTATATACACACAGTTTTATATATCTGTATGTGTGTGTATATACATACATATATACACACACACACACATATATATATATATACACACACAGAGTACCAAACTTACTGCCATAGAATGGATCTCCACTACTAGTGACCCTGCAGGACTGTGCACACTGCCTCATAGGGTCTCCAAGGCTATTAATCTTTACAGAAACACATGGTTTTTTTTCCACAAAGCAGTTGACTTAGAACTAGTGATCTTTCATTTAGCAGCAAAATGCTTTACCACTGCACCAGCTGACCTCCACACACAGTATCAGCAGACTCTCATTAACGTAAGCGAATTGTAATTCATTGTTGTTTAAACGTATGAGGGAACTCACTCTGTGTTTGACATTCTACAGTTCCACTTGATATGCCTGGAAAATAATTTATTTACCCTGCTTCTGCTTAGGACTCATGTCATTCCATTCTAAAACTGTTTGCCTTTTTTCTGTTATAAAAATTTACCAGTAAAAAAATCTTTTTTTCTTTATTTCTCTACTAATATTCTCTGAAATTCTCATTAGATATGTGTTGGGTTTTTTCATTCTGTTTTTCCTTTCATTACAAAGAATAACCTGTTTTCTGGCTAATGTCTCATGCTTGATTTTGAGAGGCTTCTTAAAAGACATTGTTTAGTTCTTTAACTCTCTGTCCAGTTGCATTCAGTTTTATGTTTAATCCATCCATTTAATTTTTAAAGACGAGAAAGAAAAAATTGAAATGGATGTCATAAGAGATTCTGAAAATTGCACTGGAGCATCAAGAAGCCAAAACAAAGTGGAATCATGCTGAAATAAAAGAGCTAAACAGAAGATTTCAAGGGGGAGCTCAAGGGGACAAAGAAAATTATTAAGAGTGGAATATGCTGAGAGCTGGAATTGGAGAATAAAAAGGGAAGAACGTGCTCTGCATTTCTTAAGCTGAGAGAACTGAAAACCAAATTTATATCTCAAATCACAGTACTGAAAGAGGTTATGGGCAATATATTCAATGACCCAGAAAGCATCAAAAGAAAATGGTAGGAATACAGAAAATCACTGTACGAAGAAGAACTGATTGGCACAGGAAGTACCATATGAACAGGAGCCATTGGTAATGAAGGAGGAAGTGGAAGCTGCATTGAAGGCATTGGCAAAAAATTAGGCTTCAGGAATCAGTAAGAGACCAATTGACTTATTTTAGTTAACAGATGCAGCCTTGGAAGCACTCACCAGTCTATGCCAGGAAATTTGGAGGACAGCTGTCTGGCCAACAGATTAGAAGAAATCCATATTTGTCCCATTCCCAAGAAAGGTGATCCAAATGAATGTGGAAACAATCGAACGATATCATTAATATCACATGCAAGTCCACCAGATCCTTTGCTGAAGAGGGGCAATCTCCTCCTGTACCAGTCAGATCTGATTTGATGGTACACACACACACACACACACTTTTAAAAAAAAATCACATGCAAGCAAGATACTGCTGAAAATCATTAAAAAATGGCTAAGACAATATATAGATAGGGAATTCCCAGAAGTTCAAGCAGGATTTAGAAGAGGCAGTGGCATCAGGGATATCATTGCTGATGTCAGATGGATCCTGGCTTAAAGTAAGGAACACCAGAAGAATGTTTATTTATGCTTTATTGGGTATGCAAAGGCGTTTGACTGTGTAGATCATAACAAGTGGTTGCTGACCTTAAAAAGAATGGGAGCCCCAGAGGACTTAATTGTGCTCATGCAAAACTTATACCTGGACCAGACGGCTGTTGTGGGAACAGAGCGAGGGAACACTGAACAGTTTAAAATTAAGAAGGGAGTGCATCAGGGTATATTCTGTCTCCATACCTATTCAATCAGTATATTGAGAAAATTATTTGAGAAGCTGGACCCTATGAAGAGGAATGTGGCATTAGGATCAGAGGGAGACTCATCAATAACCTGCACTATGCAGATGGCATATGCTTGCTTTTAGAAAGTGAGGAGGATAAGAAGCACTTGTTGTAGAAGATCAAGGAATGCAGCCTTCAATATGATTGCACCTCAATGTTAAGAAAACAGATTCTTACCACTGGACCAACAGGCAACATCATGATGGATGGAGAAGAGATTGAAGCTGTCAATAACTTCATCTTACTTGGATCCACAATTAACACCCTTGGAACCAGCAGTTAGGAAATAAGGAGACATTGCACTGGGAAAGTCTGCAGTTAGGAACCTCTCCAAATTATTGAGGCATAATGATGACTGAGGACTAAGGTGCATATGATTCAGGCCATGTTCTTTCTGATCACATGCTATGCATCTGAGAGCTGGACAACGAATAGGAAGACAGAAAAATCAATGCCTTTGAGTTGTGGTGTTGGAGAAGAGCACTGAAAATCCCACGGACGTGCAGCTGGAGTGTTCTTTGGAGGCAAGGCCGATGAGGCTTCCTCTGACATACTTTGGGAATGTTGCTAGGAAGGGCTATTCCTTGGAGAAGGGTATGATACTTGGAAGGATGGAGGCTCGGTGAAGAAGTGGAAGACCCTCAACCAGATGGACTGACACAGTGACTGCCACAAAGAGCTCTAGTGTGACAGAGAGTGTGAAGATAGCGCAGGATAGGACCGAGTCCAGATCTGTTGTCATAGGGTCACCATGAATCATACTAAACTCGACAGCATCTCACAACAATTGATTGGTTTTCAAACTTACCTACTCTTTTTCTATGTTCTTTTCCTATAATGATTTTTCTTTATGGTTTCCATTCTGCCACCCACTCTTCCCTCCCCCTTTTTAAAATTTTTCATTATTTTACTTATTATTTTCTCCTGTCTTTTTCATTCTAGCTTTTCACCCAGGACAGTGCATTTGAGGTACTGTTTCTTTGCTGTTGTGAAGTTATTTTTAAGAGGACATTTGTGTCTTGCTCTGCAGTTGTCTGGTTTTCCTGAGTCCTTGATTCTCTAAGTTGTGAAATTGCTTTGCATTTCTTTCTTCCTTCCAGGAAACATGAAATCACAGGGAGTAGTTCTGGCAGGTAGGAGAGGAATGGATACATCTACAATCAGCGAACCACCTCAGAAAGGGTGTCTTTCTCCTCTCCCACATGACTGGTGAGGCTGAACTGGGACTGTTTGTCCTGGCCCTTTACAAAACATAGCACTTGTTATATCTTGCCTAAGAGCCAGGAGGTCCTGGATTGCCAATAACAGAAAACTTGATTCTAGCAGTCTTTAAACAACAAGGTCATGTCTTGGCTCATGTAACTGAAAGGGACAAAGGTACAAGATTTTTGTACACCCCGAATCCCATTTATATATATATTTTTTTTAATTTTTTTTTTCTCCAAAGTGGTTTCCTCACCTCTCTGGAACTCTCAAGCATCACTTCTAGGTGAATAATTTTTTAAAAATCACAATTCTTAACTTTTCTCCCCTAGCTGTGCCTTTGCTGTAAAGTACAAACCATAATGGTTGGCAGCCTCGGCTGCTTCTCTCTCCAACCCTCTTTCACATACTGCTTCTTGTTGTTAGTTGTCGTGGAATCTGCTCCAACTCACAGGCACCCAGCATTACCTGGTTCTGCAGCGTCTTCACAATATTTGGTGGCCCCAGTCCATTGTTTGGGTCATTGTGTATTTTTAATGTTTTAAAACATAGCGTTCATCTCCTAGCACTTCCAGAAAAAAATGGCATTATTTCCATAGTTTTCAGATGGAGATCACTAGATCTCTCTTCTTAAGTTTAACTCCTCCCTCCACACCCTTAAATCTAGTCATTAAACTTCCTTGAGGGCTATTCTGTTCCTCTTGCTCCCTCTGAAATCTCCCTTCTTTGAACCTTAAGTAGTTTCTTCCTAGGACTCCTGTCATAGCATCCATACTCCTGCCATAGCATCCATACTCTCCTTTGTATTTCTGTTCTTTCTATACTTAAGGAGATATACACGGCCCTTTCAATTCCCTGAAGTTCTTGGAGCCTAGGGGCCATGTCTGCCTTGCCTCCCTATTTCCTGCATCTCCCAGTGGAGGGCATCTCACTAATGGTTGCTCTGACCCACCTCAATAAATCTGGCCTCTGTGATGAGGTTAAACCAGGGAAGTCTCTCCTGTATAGCATAATACAGACATTACTATATGGGAACTGCTGACTTAGAAATCAGGGATGTGATGCAGAATATAATACAAACTCAACACTGACGTGGGACAGGAAGATGAACAATGCCAGAGTCTTTGGTTCCTGCTGTGGGAGTCTCCCAATTCCTTGTTCTCCTGGTCCCACCTGTTTCCATAATGCGTCTTTCAGCATACTGGCCTAGCCCAGCAGCTAGCTTCACAATGGCCTGTACAGCTTCAAAGTTGTCTGGTTGGAGAGTTATATGTTAGTGCAGTGATCTGTTTAATGTGAAATTTTATCATACAAATCAAGATGCTTAGGGTTCTGGAGTCCTGGCACATTCCCACTCCCCTTCACACAGGCCCAGCACACTGTCATTCAACAGGGCTCACAGTAAAGTGAGCCAGTCGGCAGCATGCCAGTGTGCCTGATGCACATACCACAGTGGAGACGAGAGTGTGGAACAGTCTCCCAGAGCCTTGCCCAGTGTCCGGTACACTACACTCCATGTTTACTTTCACATGAAGGAACGAATGGATGAGTTAACAGGTCCATCTTTTGATCTCCTCCAACAGATTACAACAGCAGTGAATTAAAGACTGCATGTCGGAAGCATGAGCTGTATGTGAGCTTCCAAGACCTGGGCTGGCAGGTGAGTCTTTGCTCAAGTAATGGTGGCAGCCACACTGTCAAAGACTGAGTCCTTACACAAAGGCGCTTGTAAACCCCTTCTTGGGTATTGAGGACCCAGCCCACCTGTGTGCCCACGGGCTCTTTTCCAGGGTACCCCAAATCAAGCGTTCCCAAGTCAGCTGTCATCTTTCCAAATCAATAGCCACCAGTTTACCTTACTTTACCTTCATTCTTTAAAAACCCACTCAGTGTGTATTTATTTGGATCTTACATAATTCAAGTTGTTTTTTGAGCTCTCAACTCCAAACTCTTTAATACTGGCTCAGAGCTGACCCTCCAGGAGGCTCTAAGTTGCACTGGAGGAGACTGCCCATTATCTTCCTATGGTGCCGCTGATGGATTAGTACCACCAGGGGTGTGGGGGAAGCAGGACAACCGGGTCAGTTCTCCAATGGATATAAATCACGCCACCCACACTATCTAGAAGAGTACAAGAGTCTTGCCTCAAATCTGAATGCCACCACTAGTCTGTGAGAAATGAAGACAAATTTAACTACAGGAGTGATAGGGCAGTTTCTGTATTTGAGTGGCACCATGCGGCCAGGGGCACTGGGTTCCACTGGAGGCCCTTTGAGCTCAAGAACAACATGACCACCCACATGCTTTGGGACATGCAAATGTGTAGCAGCTAGAAGTGGGTGGGTTTGCGGAAAGAGCCAGTGCTTTAGTCAGACCAAAACCTACATCTCCCTATGACTATTTCCTGATCTGTCCGGTGTGGGTGAGATGATCTAACAGGTGCTTGTGACTTAGCTGTTTGCTTTCTTTTGCTTTAAATGAAGGACTGGATAATCGCACCCAAGGGCTACGCTGCCAATTATTGTGATGGAGAATGCTCCTTTCCCCTCAACGCACACATGAACGCAACGAATCATGCCATCGTGCAGACCCTGGTGAGCTGGAATTCTGAACTCTGTGAATAGAAATGAGCCACAGTCACATGGAGTTTATACTGGTGTCTTTTCTCTCTTGTTTTGGAATAGGTCCACCTTATGAATCCTGATTATGTCCCCAAACCATGCTGTGCACCAACCAAGTTAAATGCCATCTCAGTCCTCTACTTTGATGACAACTCCAACGTCATCCTGAAAAAATACAGGAACATGGTTGTAAGAGCTTGTGGATGCCATTGACTTGAATCTTGTTGCAGACGACACACAAATCCTGCCTCGGATGCCTGGATTCCATCTGCCTTAAGAACACATGGTGTGTGGTGAGAAGGAATGAATCACCCACCCACTGGTGCCCTTCTGTCCAAGAAACTTTCAAGGACTTTGCTAGTAATTTGCTCAGATGGTAAATAACGTGTACTCACGTTATTGCTTTGTAGGAAACCGAGTTTGTCTCTACGTCAGTTAACTGCAGTAGTGTAGCTTTGAAGGATTATCCCAAGAAAAGCCCACCAAAACTATCTTTAGTTCTTTGTGGTATTAATGAGTAAATAGGGAAAATAATCTTAAAGAAGTAGAACTCTTCTAGGCTGAAGGCATTAGTCCGCTATTTCTGCCAATGGAAGATTTTGCAGATTAATAGAAATTGGGGGAAACATCCTATCTATAGCTCTCATTCCTAGGGAGGCCCATTCCATATAGGATCAACTAGGGCCAATTCCAAGTGCCTTTTGTCTCTGAGTCCTGCTGCTATGTGTTTGCACTGCAGTCTTGTGGCTGTGGTGTGCTGTTGAGTAGAAAGCAGCTCAGAGCTGCTTCCCCAGTGGGTTTTCAGAGGCAGTAAACACACAGGGCGGGATAGCCCATCCTTCTCCCATGGAGCAGCTGGTGGAACTGAACTGCACGCCTTTGGGATTGCAGCACAGCTTCTTACCACTCTGTGGGGAGGATGAAAAGTACAGTTACTTCACTCAAAACCAACAAGATAATCTGCACACCCCGATCCTTCCATCTGCTGTATCTGTGGCTGAATTACATGCATCAAAAGCAAGATTATACTTTGCGGAGCACTTTAAATGCTATGACTTTAGCTGTGTATGTGTGGAAGCAATACCATACCACTTCTTGATTGGAATGGCTGAGAAGCACATTCACTTCTGGAACACTGGCTCAAATGTCTCATTTATCTCTGTCCAATGGTTATTTGCTTTTTTACTATACAGTATCGTGTGCCCTGGCATTGGGACCAACAAAGGATATAGAGTAAGGAAGGGGTGCCCGCCTCTAAGGATAGGTTTGCGTGAGTGTGCTTAAGAACTAAAGCCTCAATTTTTCTCCTGTAGAAAGTAAAGCTCAGAGTAAAACTTAGAATATTTTTTTAAAATCTTTTTCACAATCATGTAATAGGAAATAAATTTCATACTAAACTGATTAAATAACAATCTATAACTGTTTGCACTTACATCTTTTTTTGTAAATATAAACTATAATTTATTGTCTATTTTATATCCATGTTGCTGTAACATTTAAGGAAAGACTAGACTTTTTAAAAAAAGAGTTTATTTAGAAAGTATCAATGTAAACAAATTGTACCACTTTGATTTTTCTCTTAATACAAGACTCAGGATGCCAAGCTGAAGTCACTCATATGACTGTGTGCTTCTCTCAAAGTTGGGTTTTTAAAGAATATCCATGAACCATACATGATTAATAAAGATTTCTTGTAAAGCAGAAGCTGTTAAGAGATATTGTTCTGGGATCTTTGGCCCAGAATATAAGGGGTCTTGTTTCTGGATGACACCGCCAGTTACCCTATGCATGTGGGTGGTCTGGAGGGTACTGGATATAGGAAATAACCTGATGATAAAAAACACAGATATGTATCCTAAGGGAACTCAGTCCTACAGCTGGTTACTGCCAAGGGTAAAATTCCACACAGGCAGGAAGGGCTTTAGCATCGACTGGAAGACAGCCCTGCCCCGTTCAGTCTTTGGTCTTGAGGTCAAAGCAATCCTCGTTCTTGATACCCCTCTGAATGGCAGGCCGTGCACAGCAAGTCCCTGAAAAGGCTGCTGGTGCTTTCAGGGCCAAGCTGTGGAAGTGCCTCCACTGCAGGTTAGGGCTCTCTCTGGTTCCTGGCTGAGGGAAGGCCCACATATTCCCATTGCTTCAGGTGACAGATACAACCAGAACCTTCTATACGAGTTAGGACTTGTGGGATGTCCCCTATTCACACTGTCTATGGGAGACAATCCAGCAAAGCTGACCTGGATTCTGGCTTTGTGTTCAGACAACGAAATCAAGAAATTTTCCACTCCAAAAGAGAGAAATGAAAGTAACCCTTGAACAGTTATATCTTACTTGACAATTACAGACACACATAAAATTATGGCATCAACACAGTATTACTCAGGCACAGGCTACAAGTACCGCTGCGGCAGACGCAGAAGTTCCCGTAGAGAACATGAAGTATCTTCCAGGGGGGGCAGGTTTCTGTTTCTCAATCGATTCCGAGCTGCCGGTCAACCTCTTTATTAAGAAACCAGTTGTGACTTTTAGGTCAGGAGAACATCAATACTGCCACAGGCCACCTTTCCAGTCCTAGCGGGCTGGCAGCTGAAACTAAGCTTTGGTAATGATGCTTTCACCAAAATCACTCAGAAGCCAGAAATAGCCCAGCAATTTGATTTTCCTCTACTCTATTTCAGTCTCAAAGGAAGCCATTTAAATTTCATCAAGAGAAGGTGAAAGGGGATGCATTGCCACTGAAAAATATTTCGTTTGCACAGTGACCATGAGTTACACATTTACTTAGAGAAACTTAATAAAGAATCCTTAGAGTGTGTTGGTTTTAAAAACACACACACAAAGAAGATACCACAAGTTTAGTACATTCAACTTTCCGAAGAACCACTGTTTTGAAACTCAACAACGTCAGTAAGATTGAACCCTTGTGCGCTGAGCAGAGGCAGCCAGGCTGCAGAGCCGATGGTCAGCTGGGTTCTCACAGTTCGTCTTTTGCCTGAAGCAGGACAAAGTGGTGCAAGGATTCCAGGTCCCTGCCGCCATTGTGTTCACTGACTTTCTTTCCTGCCCGGAAAAGCAGCAATGTGGGATAGCCTCGTACCTTAAAAAAAAAAAGACAAAACCAAAACCATTCATTTGAGGATACAAATCATCTGCTTCTTAAATAAATTTAGATAATCTATCTCCTGCTGCTTTAACTGGGGAATTCTAGGATTAAATTTTAATGACTAAGTATCAGATTAAAACGCGAAGCCTTGGGACTATGTGTCTGCTTTTCAATCCAACATTAGTGTTGAAAGGATGACTTTATCCCAAAGAAGTGATTCTCAATCTGGAATGTGTCTGCTAATACTTGGAAAGTTGTTACAGTGCTGACTCTGATTCAGCAAGCAGGGGTGGGCCTGAGATTCTGCATTTTTAACGAGCTCCATGGAGATGCCTGTGTTGGACGTGGGCCACACAGCACACGGCAGCAAGGTCCCAAGTGATCCACATCCTGAAGAGCTGGGTCCACCTCTCTCTTGAAGAATCCTAACAATTTGAAGACATAAATAACTCCTTGTATCTTCTGCCGATGGAGGAGCTTTGGTGGCCTAGTGGTAAGAAGCTGCACTGCAATCCAAAAGGCAAGCAGTTTGAATCCACCAGCTGCTCAGTGGGAGAAAGATGGGTAATCTCTTTGATATGATTAAAGTGCCTCTGAAAAACCCAGTGGAGGGTGAACTATAGGTCAGTTCTGGCTCCGTAGCACACAACAGCAACAACAGCTGATGATGAAGCCTCGGTGTGATGGGTGAGTAGTCAAGAGCTAATTGGAAGGATGTTCTGAGCTGCTTCCTTAGCTTTCAAAGCCTTGGAAACTACAAAGAACATTCTACTGCGTCACACAGGGCCGCCATCAGTAGGAATCAACAGCTACGGGGGTTTCACTTGTTTGGTTTTGGTCTAGTAAGGATAAGAAATGATAAGGCTACAGCTTTCAGGATGCACTACATCTCAGCATACTTTTAACTCAATTCATTGCTGCTAACTTGGAACTGACTGGTAGCTGGTAAGGTTTCACAGGCTGAAAATCACATTGAGAGGACTCTGTCCCTCTTTCTTCCACACAGCAGCTGGTAGATTCAAAACACCTGTCTTTGGGTTGGCAGCACAACTTCTATGGCCCCAGAAAAAAAAATCCTTACAACTGGACTACTAAGCAACCTTATAATAAGTGGGGAAGAAAAAAAACAAACAACCTGGAGTTGTCAAGGATTTCATTTCTGGGTCAATCCACAATGAATGTCCACAGACACAGCAATCAAGAAATCAAATAATGCACTGCATTGGGCAGGTCTGCCGCAATTAAAGACCTTTTTAAAATATTCAAAAGCAAAGACATCATCTGGGGACTAAAGTGCCCCCGACCCAAACCACTGTATTGGTATTCGCTTCATATACATGTGAAAGCTGAACTGAATTAGGAAGAAGAATTGGTGTATTTAAATTATGCTGCTAGTGGAAAATATTGAGGATACTGTGGAGTGCCAAGCAGATGGACAAATCTATCATGAAAGAAGTACAAACAGATGCTCCTTAAAAGTTAGGATGACAAGACTTAATAGCATGAACTTTGGGCATGTTATCAAGAAGAACTTAGTCTCTTAGAGGGGTATCAGGCCTGATGAAGTAGAGGGTCCGTGAAATAGAGGCAGACCCTCTGTGAGATGGATCGACATAGCGGCCGCAGCCATGAGCTCAGCAGAGCAAGGGCCACGAGGCTGCATACAACTGGCCAGTGTTCTGTTCTCTTGTAAACAGGGTTGCTATGAGGTGGTGCCAACCTGACTGGCTCTTTAAACAATATTAAACCAACTACATCTGTGCTGCCATCTATTTTCAATCTCGAGGTACAGGACCTCCTCAGATTTATTTAGCCAATCGCCTGATTCCAAGTATGCCTTCGCTTCCCACTCCCTTGACTTCACATAGTACATTCGTCATGTCACCTAAAAATTAAGCCACACAAAAGCAGCTGCCATCAAGTCACTTCTAGCTTATCATGACATCACGTGAGTGAGATAAGACCTGTACTGCATGGTATTTTCAATGACAGGACTCTCTTCTGAGGTACTTCTGGATGGATTTGAAACACCATCCTTTCCAGGTGACAATTCTTCTAGGCTAGTGACCATGCTTGTAGACTGTGCTAAGAGCCAGAACCACAGGCAGCAGGACAGAAGCTCAAGCAGAAGCCTAGCGTGAGAGCATAGCACACCGCCAGAAGGACACTGAGGTCACCATGTATCCTTCACTCAGTGTACCTTAAATGCTGGCTTATGTCTGAAGACAACTGCCAATGGGATATTTATGGCAAAAGCCACATGCCAATTGGTGACTTACTTCGTCAACAGGCAGCATGCCCTGTGTCAGAAGAACCTCTTCTTCAACGCCTGGGGTTTCACACTGCACAAGGCTTATACCAGATGACAAGTCCAAGTAAATGTCACTGCCATGAGGTCAATCCCAACATCTAAGAAACCCTACAGGAGAGAGCAGGAGTGCCCTAGAGGGTCTCAAAGGCTGCAGTCCTTAAGGCTGCAATGGAAGCTGACAGCCCAGGAAGTGAATGGTGGATTTCCACTCCTGACCTTCTGGTTAACACTGGATCTCCTTCACTATACTAATTAATACCAGAAGAACAAAGCCTTTCTCTTGGAAGAATATCTCTTTTACCTCTCCAAGAAAACAACACACACTTTTCTTTTTCTTTTCTTTTTTTTTTTTTTGAGGGAAGCTTTACTATCTTGGTCAAGTCCATGATGCCAAATTACAGTGCAAAGGAGCACTTAGTGAGTTACGTGGCGTAATGAGTTATGTGTTGGGCTGCTAATCAGAAGGTCAGTGATTCAAATCCACCAGCTGCTCTTCAGGAAAAACATGGGAAATCTCCTTTCATAAAGATTTACAGTCTCAGAAGCCTGAATGAAGGACCGCTATGGGTCAGACCTGATTTGAGAGTGATGGTTCCGGTTTCGCTACAGCACTTAACCACCATAAATATGTTCATCTTTGTATTCCTACCGAGTATTTGCTGCAAATATTCCGCTCAGCAGTGCAGTCCACTTCTGCAATCTTGACTGTTGCCAAACCAGGAAAGTCCTTTTTAGAGAGGTCCTCCCAAGTAGGTGCCAGATTCTTACAATGTCCACACCTGGGAACACAACAGTGATGGTTCTGTTAATGTCTCGGGTTAACCCCATCCACCTACATGTCACCACTGTGCCAAGCCTCGTTTCTTCTGTACACAGCAGTTAACAACTGCCTAGAAATGTGTGAAACATGGAATTCCCCCAGTGGGTGCACACACTTTTCTTCCTCTCTTTATCCTAAATGCAGCATTCCACAGAAATCCCAAGTAGATTTTAGCTCATCAGTTGATCTGGAAAGAAGTTTAAATTCCAGAGACCATCTCCATGATATGGCAAACTAGCCCAATGGAGTGTGAATATACCACACAAGGAAATGACACAAAACACATCCTTGAAAGTTCTTAAAAACAAATTCCAAATTTCAAACTATTTTCCATTTGATTGCTTATTATTTCATAATTTCAAAACAACTTTAGAGCTTCCTTTAAGCTTCCCTGCGCTGGTGTGAGCTCTGCGGCCACTTTCTAAGTGTGCTTCAAGCCCTCCCTGATGCCCCTTGTGTGCGTCTTTTTCTGAGCTTGCCCTTTCACCACTATATGAACTGCTTCCTTTCCATAGAAGGTGCCCTCCTCCACCCCTGAGCAACTGATATAGCTCTGATGATATTGTGTGTCATCACCAGAATCACTCACAGCCGACCATGCAGTGGGTTTTCAGAGACCGTAAATCACGCAGGAAGAGACTGCTCGTCTTTGTCCCTTGGGCTTTCCGAAATAGTCATATTAGAGATTGTATTTACTAATAATTCATTCTTTCAGACTAAAAACTGAGCAACTCAAAAAAACTACAGGTTCATTCACTTTCTCTTTCTGCTATTTGCTATGTTGTCGTTATGTACTATCAAGTCGGGGCTAACTCAGCTGACGCTCGCATGGTAAATCACACGGGAGGAGAATGCCCATCTTTCTCACACTATTAGTGTTTCAAAAAATGCCTGTAACCACCTGAAGAGCAAAAAATGACACAGTGACTCTACTCGTGTTTAGGTAAAGTTTCTAACACTGTCTTAAACCCTCTTCTTTTCTAAATGAACTACTTTTCTTATGAAGAGAAAGAGTGATATTTCCATTCTGTAGCTCAGGAAGAAGCCTCAAAGGAACCAAAGGTCCCCAAGAGTTATCACTGGTTAACTGTGAATCTGGGGGCCCATCTCCAGCTCCTGGGTTCCGATCCCCCCATCCTGCCACACTGCAGGCCGCCTGGTGCCACACCGTGCACAGGCATTTGATGCCCATGACTCCAGGCTCATGTGGTAAAAGGTTCCAGCCTTGTAGTAACCTACTGAACACTGAGCTGTATAGGGTTTCTCTATGCTATTCTTGAAAAGAGACTGAAAAGCAAATCACCTGCCATCCTGTTAATGCTTTAACCCCAACAGTCATCCACAGATACAAACAAATTTGACATTCTGTATAGCTGGCATTAATCCTTCTTCTCCATTCATATGTCTTCTCTAAAGCAGACTATAGTATGGAGGAAACAAGCTCTTTCTGCATGACTATGAAAGCCAGTCCTTAACACCGCTGCACACATGAGCATATGACAGTATTTCCTTCCTTCCAACCATGTGACCTCCTCAACACAGGGGCCTATATATCCTCTCCCCTCTATGCCCTCACTCTTTGCCCACCTTCCCACTGGCATGGAAACACAACATCTGTCCAACACTGCATCTGGAGGGTTGGTTAATGAGGTGAAAACCAATGACAAGACAAGTACAGGAGGAGACAAGACAGTTTTCAGAGAACAGTGCACTTACCACGGGGCATAGAACTTAATGAAGGTGATTCCTTCTGCAATGGTGTCATCAAAGTTACTTTCAGTGAGTGCCAGCACAGTGCCCTTTGGGGAGGGAAAGACCACAGTTCAGACATACCATGTACTATAAAGCAATAGCAAGGTCACACCGTGGGATGGCAGAAATCCACACCTGTCATTTAAAAATGTCAGGCAAGTGACGGGTCCCACAGAAGTACCTGTACAATTCATATTTCAAAGCTACACCAAAGGGCAGAACTTCTTGCAGAAAGCACACTCTTAAGTCCCAAAGTATGAGGAAGGGGAACACACACTGGGAAGCAACTGCCCAGGGTCAACTGTATGATAACCTCCCAGGCAAGTGCTCTACCCTACGGAGCTAATTAATGAACTTATATAAGGTCATCCAGAGCCAAGCTGTAAACCAGGCACTTCACGTGCTGGGCCTGAACTAAGCACAGAGGGAGCTCTTAACACTGACAGAGAGTCCAGAACATCAGCTTGCTGGTCCTAACATCTGACTTCACACAACTCTCTCACTGTCCACCTCACTGCCAGACACACTGGATGGACAGATGGACACACACATACACCCTCCCTCTCTAATTGACATCTTACCACACACTGCTCGACACAATGGATAGACGGATGGACATACACATACACCCTCCCTCTCTAATTGACATCTTACCGCACACTGCTCGACACACTGGATGGACACACACATACACCCTCCCTCTCTAACTGACACCTTACTGCACACTGCTCTCTCACTGCCTGAAACTCTGGACACACCCCTTTGCCCTGTGCAGTGAAGCCTAATCACAGCAGCCACCAGCCATCTACGCTGTGCTATGGGGGCCTGGAAGTTTCTGTGATAATGGAAGTTAGGCCACCGGCATCTCTAGCCAGGTTTCCGCTGAGCTTCCAGAGAAAGAGCAGTAAGAAAGGTCTAGCTGCCTACTTAAAAAATGTAGCCTAATGATCATAACAAAACACTGCGTCACTTGCTTGTCTTGGATACAGCATCAGGTGGGCTCATTAGAGGCAGACACTGCATCTGGAATGACAGAAGGCCCTAAGAGCCAGGGGGCCATCAGTGAGAGGGATCGGTATTGCTGCTGCCTAGATGCATGCAAATGTGGCAGCAACTGTGAGGAAGGCACAGGATGTCTGCACATGGGGTCAATGTAAATTTGGTGGCAGCCAATAACAGTCATGAGAGTTTTGCATGCAGGTGACTTTATTTTTAAATTCCTTAAGAAAACATAAGACATGTTAACCTCCAAAGAACTACTAAGAAACTCTACATAGTACTTTGTGTAAGACGTAAAACTTCCCTCCCTCAGGCCACAGGTCTGATCTCCCAGGAAAGGTGTTTTCACTAATGTGTGCTGTTTTCAAGTTCAGGTTTGAGGGCTTAGACGGATGCCGCCAGGCAGTGTCACAGTGATCCCATCATGACTGTAACTGAAAGAATCAGGCTGATACACCCGCTCAGCTGTTAACTGAAAGACTGGACACAAGTCCACCCTCCAACACCCTGGAAAAAGGCCTGGTGAACTATCTGCAAAGCGAGTCACTCACCACTCTTTGGAGTACAGTTCTCCTCTGGCGCACACAACATCTTGAACCAGAGTTACAGCGATGGCAACTGACACTGTTACGTCTCCAACATAAATCTGTGATCCTCTTGTGAACGTGAGAACAGTGAGTGTGTGGGTAACTGTTCTCCATCTACTTTGTTAAGCCCAGCATCTCCAGACATCTGAGCACTGGGAGGGAGCCCCGCCAGGCGAGCCATCGGAGAATGCTGCCATTTTTCCGAGCATCCACACATATGCCTTACTCACTGAAAGACCCACTTAATGGTGGAAAATATCATTATAAATAGATGCAGCTCTGGGTTTGATGAAAACATTCATGTATATAATTATACTCAATTTAGGATGACCTTTATAACCACCATGACACATATGCTCTTCATCATAAGGGGTCATAACTAAAATGTCATATGCTTACTTCTTAACCCAAAGCTTTGGCTTTTAACCAATACCTTGGCCATTTTCAGCCTGCAGGCATCCTGCCGGGGGATGGGTGGTGGGAGTGACAGAAGCCTGGTGCTGCTCCCACCTGGGAGGATGGGGAGGTGGCCCCACTGGATTCTCCTATTCCAAACACAGCCGCGGGAGACATGGAACCAGCCAGTCTCATTCCCTTGTATAAATGTCAAGGCTCAAGAGTTCCTGGTGGGGAGTCTACTATATAGCTAGCCCCCTCCCCAGACCATAGGGAACAAAGGCATACTGTCTTATCCTCTGCTCAGATGTCCCTATAACTCAGGAAAGAACCTGTTCTGAAATATACTGTGTGGACTGAAGAAGCAATATAATTGTTCTGCTTAACTTTACAGTTGTGGTTATTAGGAATAAAATTCAGGCACTGGTTTCCTGGGAAAACACATTTTGATTCTCCCTCCTTGAATAATGATAACGTTTCTAGTCCACTTTGGTGGCCCCATATAACCATTTTATATCTTTATATGGAGCTCTGCTGGCCTAGCCCATTGGGAAATGGACTGCTAACCCAAAGGTTAAACCTCTCTGAAGTTCTAATCCACCGGCAGTTCCTTGGAAGAAAGATAGGCAATCTCTTTCCATGTGATTTACAGCCAGACTGACTAGGTATGGAGAAAGGCTATCGCCCTGACACTCACCTTTTCATTTTAAACTATGCAGTGTCTCATTGCTGTTTGGGCAACGGCTTCTTGGTCTAAGTATAGGTTTTGGTTTTGTACGAACCCAATTATGTGTTCTGGGATTGCCGTTCTCAGAGTCAGCAACAGTTTGTTCTGATCCACACAGTCAAATGTCTTTGCAGAGTCAATAAAACATAAATAGATATGCTTCTAGTATTCTCTTTCTGCCAGGATCCATCTGACATATCCCTAATGCCACAGCGTCTTCTAAACTTAGCTTGAACTGTGGTAGTTTTTTGTCAACGTACTGTTCCAGCCATTTTTTAATGATCTTCAGCAATATTTTACTTGCATGTAATATGTTCCCTGAAAGCTTAATAATAAACCTGAAACATATCACATGCTTGATGAATACAGAATGAATGAATGAATGAATCTAAAACCTCTGCAGGGTCTGAATGAATGGCTCTAATCTCCATTACGGCTGAGACTGCAAAATAAACAGCATGAAGCGGGATGCCCATCAGTCAGTGCCACGGCACAACCCTTTCTGCTGTGACTTTTTCCGGGGACACACACAGCACAGCATGAGAGGGAACTGTCAGAGCAAGTACAGCAGCAACCATGACTTCACAGCAAATGCTCTCAGACAGTCATTCCCCAAGATCAAGGAATTAAAAGGGAGAATTCTCTAGACACTCTGACGTCACCTGCGGCTGCAGGATTTGTCTCAAGACCTATTTCAGGATTTTGTTTATGCACTCAAAGACACCAAACAAGAACCACCACCCTTACAACAATGTGAAAGCAGCTGAAGAAAGTATTCTGTCTTATCAGTTAGCAAATCATGGGAAGTACTCTTTAAAACTGTGGCCATCGAGTCTGCTCCCATGCGCAGGGCCCCGTACATGTTGGAGCAGATTCTGCTCCAGTTTCCATAGCTGATGTTATAGAAAAGAATCACCAGGCTTTTCCCCACGGTGCCTCCACACCACTGCAATGGCCGCAATTCCAGCTCACGGTGACCCTCCACAAGGATGTGGTGGCTGTACATTTTTATGGGGGAGGAGATTGCCCATCTTTGTCCCACAAAGCAGCTAATAGGTTTGAACTGCTGCCCTGTTGGTTAGCAATCTGACACATTACACATTGCACTGCTAGACGTCCTTAGGTTGCTGCTAGTTGGATTAAAAACTCTAACCTTTTGGTTAGCAGTTGAGTGTACTGATCATTTCCACCACTTCTCCTGTATGTTTTGTTGACTCATAGCGACCCTATGAACAAAAGGCCTGAAGCCTCTCTATAACTATCAACATTTATCCACGTTCATATAGTTTCCGGAGGCATGCTGTTCAGGAAATGGATGCCACTCCAGCTTCCTGTATGCTTTACTGTCCCCAAATTGTCATTGTGCAGAGCATTTAAGAAGGGTGCCTTCAGGGGCTGGAGTTGGGAAGGATTTGCCCCTTTCTGCAGGCTGGGTGACACTGACACTCACCTTCTGTGCAGGAGGTTCTGCAGCCAGCACCGGGGCTTCAGAGGGCTCCACGGGTTCCTCGGACCCCCTCTCTGAGCTCCGCAGCTGTGAGTCTACATACTCTCTCAGCGACTCCAGGTCCCTCTTTCCTTTGTATTGATCAATCTGTCAGAGACCCAGGCCACACAAACACGATGCTAGTTAGTACATTTAAGTACCCTGAGTCACTTACCCCTTCCCTCTAGCCCCCAATTGTCCACTGCAGAAATTCATGGCATGTCTGAGCCACGTCATGCACACTGTATAATGTTTACATGGCCAAATGTAAATTTTCAAAAAGCACCAAGACAACCAAAAATGCAAATGAAATCCAAACTGCTTCTGACTCATGGTGATTCTATGTGACAGAGCAGAACCGTCTCAGGTTTCCAAGGCTGTAATCATTATACAAACAGGCTGCCACATCATTCTGTCACAGCATAGCTGGTAGATTTGAACTGTCAACCTTCAACAGCAGTAAAACACTTAACCACTGCATCACCAAGCCTCCTCCAATTTAAACAGAAAATCCTAAATCACTCAGGAATTGCTTTGTCTTTGGTGTAGGAGTTTTATGGCCGCCCCTCTGCAGTTAGGAGATCCCTGGGTTACTGTTTACCAGAATGTCTTTAGCTCACTGTAACTTCTAGAAAATTAACATCGACCCAGATGACACCCCAGAGAAGCTGGGAGAAACGTGACTGTGACCCAGCACCCTCAGAGGCCTGCAAGATGTGGGTTCACAGTCCAGTGATAAGCCAATGAGAATGTTTTAAAGCAGCTTAAGATCTGACAGTTTCAACTTACTTCTCACCTACCCAAAAGTTTTCATTATGCTGAGTGAAATCTCTCAGTCATAAAAGGACAAATCCTGCATAACACTGATGTTACAAAATAAGATACAGGGAGTTGGGGGAGGGGGGGCTAATAGGAAAAGAGTGGACAGATAATGAATGCTGCACTGGAACAGATGAGGGGAAGACTGGTCTGAAAGGAATACATGATTAGGTGTTATATGTATGACAACACTCTGGAAGAAGAGATGCATTACAAAGTGGACAGGGGGAGGGAAAGGGAAGAAAATGTCCAACAATGAATGAATAAAAACCACAACAAAACAAAGCCCTAAGTTTTCAATTTAACAAAAGACTTTTTCCCCATGCTAGCGCCCAACCTAGCATCCCACTGCAAGCACTGCACACAGGCGTTTCCGTTACAGAAAGTGTCCTGCTTCAGCACCAGGCACTGGAACCTGCCTTACCTTCTTGCCATCTCGGAACCAGAGGAGAGTTGGGTAGCCTCGGACTTGCTTTCCAGAGCACAGTTCATAGTGCTGGGTACAGTCGACCTGAGAGTAAATAGCATTGAGTTCACTGTCACTCCATTCACACACCTTTTAGTAAACTGATTGTTGGATACTTCACAACCACCAAAAAAAATTGATTGTTGGATACTTAACAACCAAAAAAATCCAATTCTGTATCACTGTTGCAGGATGCAGTTTACTGAAACCTTTCCTAAAGACTACTTCAGAATTCCCCTGAGCTGAGTCAAGGCAGCCATATGAAGAGATTTAGGTTAGAGATGTGACTTCTTTTAGCTTAGTTAAAAATGGTGACTTTTAAGAAGCCACTGTGTAACCAGAGTAGATGTGATATAGAAAACTGACTCTTGGGGCGGTGTGAGGCACGAATACCAGAACACTCAAAGTTCAGAGCTTACAAACCAGGAAAGGTATGGAGTCAATTATACATCGAAGATGTTGGCCTAGCATCAAAACACATCAAAATTATAAGATTATAATTTGCCCTTCATTCTATATATTTATCACCTACCAGAACTCTTCAATTTTTTCATTTTACTGGAATCTTCTAAAGATTATACTTGTCCAATATTTTCATGGAATATTTTATTCTAGGGGACTGCCTTTTTCTTTTTCTGTATCATAAAGAAGACTTGGCCAAACAGTGCTTAAGCACTCAGCCACTAACTGAAGGCCAGCGGTATGAACCCACCAGCTGCTCTGTGGGACAAAGTCTGTTTGCATGAGGATTTATAGCTTTGGAAGCCCAGTGTGCAGAGCCTCTCTCTCCTGCTGGGTTTCTGAGCCCAAACGGACTGGCTTTAAGTCAGCTCAACATGACTATACCCCAAAAAGTAGACTAAAGATACTATTTCAAGAGATAACACTGAAGTCAGAAGCAGATACATGCTGAACAGAGGTGAAAAGCATTCTCAGACATTCAGCCTAAGCTGATTACACACACATCTAGAAGAGGGCTTGTCACTGAATGGTGAGCTGGGCTCTGTCTGCACATGCTTGGTTCCCCTAGGGGCTTCCACTGACACAAACTAAAAAACAAATGACCTACAAAATTTCAAAAAATAAGCTAAGGATACAAAGAATGAGGATGTTAGAAGGCAAGAGTATGACTATTCTATAATTACTTCTATGAAGTGTTCAATAAAAATAAAAATTAAAATGTATCATTAAAATGTATCATCTAATAGGCAACAGTGATGCGAGCTGGACAATGACTAAGGATGATAGTAGTATTGAGACCCTTGAGTTGTGGTTCTGAAGAAGTGTGTTGAACATACCACAGACTGCCAAGAGAACAAACAGGCCAGTCCTGGAGGGGATGAAACCAAGCTGCTCCCTGGAGGCAAAAATCCTTGAAGCTCTACCTCATATACTTTGGGCATGAGGCCAGGAGGGACCAGTCCTTGGAGAAGGACATCATGCTCAGAAGGGTGAAGGGACAGTGCAAGAGAGGAAGACCCAGAATGAGATGGATTGACTCAGGATAAGGGAGAATTCAGAGCTGTTGTACACCAGGTTCCTATTAGTTGCAGGTGACTTAACAGCACATTAACAACAACAGCAGTGACAAATCGATTTAACCTAAGGTAATAACATTCATTGCAGTTTGTTGAACATCCACTCTGTGCCAAGTACTATACTAAACATTTTACTTTCAGTCTCATGATACCTCAAGGTATATCTTGTTTTGGTTTTGGAAAAGAGGAAACTGAGGCATAGAGAGGTGACCCAACATGCCAGCCAGGTCTGTCTGACATGCAAGTTTTTACATTTAACTCTGTCCCCAAGCTAACTCCAAACCAGCTGCCACTGAGTTGACTGCATCTCATGGCAGCCCTGCTTGTGTTAGAATAGAATTATGTTTCAAAGAATTGCCCATGACAGATTTTTTCCAAAGCAGATTCCCCCACAGGTCCTTCTTCCGAGGTGCCACTAGGGAGACTTGAACATCCAACCTTTTGATTAGCAGCTGAGATGCGTAAGTTTTAACCGCTGGCACCATCCAGAAACACCACCATGCTGAGTAGAACCTTTAACTAAGTCTAGTTCTTGGACATGCAGCACTATTTCTTTTGCATGCAAATACATTTCTCAGTCCCATGCAAAGTCAAAAGCATAGATTTGTATAAAAGGAAATCCATACAAGGATGACAGGGAGTGAAAGAAAAGAAATGAGATGGAAAGTACTTAAAAGAATTAGAGCTGCAGTGGTGGAGCCTGCTCTGGGTATGTCCAGAAGACTCAGTTACAGAGACGTTGTCAGGCATCACCTCTGCCTTCTCTATGTAAGCAGGAAGGGGTGGAAAGAATTCCAGATTTACGTGCTCACAAGGACTCACCAAAAGAAAGGGTCTCCTGAAGGCTTATCTGAGTAGACAGCCAAGGGTCCCTGAGGAAAGAGCTACTGGGTGAGACCAAATGTGAATGCTCTCCAAGCTTGCAGAATGGACATTCTCTATAGCTCTACCCACATCTTTGCAGACAGGCCTCCTCTGGTGCTGCCAATTCAGAACTGGCTATTTCTTTGGAATAAACAAAGTGGCCAAAGCCGAAATTTATCAAGATGCTATGGAAAAGTAAGTAGATCCTAGGCTGCTCTGTGTAAAGTGAAATGAATTATCAAATGGCACACTAAATGGGATTAATAAATCAGGTCGGCAGCTCTGCACATTAATCCAGCCAAAGGCAATACATTCCCAGTTTACAAGACCTTTCACTTACCTTGCCAATCTTGACAGTTTCAGAATGTTCGAAGCCCAGAGCCAGCTGCTCCCAGGTTGGAGCCAGAGCTTTGCAGTGACCACACCATGGAGCAAAGAACTTGATAAAGTGGTTGCCTTCGAGGAGTGCCAAGACAGAGAGGGGGGGAAAATGGTAATTTATATCAGACTTTACCAGGGACTTAATTCGAGAATTAGATCATTGTCTTCTTATTTATCAACTCCCAATTCAGTTCCAACCTCTTAACTAGTAAAAACTAACTCAGCATCAAGTAATTCTGTGTTATGGGGAACATGGAAGTCAGGGCCCTATGCTGAAAAATCCATCCACGACTATTGGTGATGGTTGCACAACTGGATTAATAAAAGTGACATCACTAAAATGTACATGTGAAAAGTGATGAACTGGCAATGTTGTGTGCCATCTACTTTTATAAAACTTAAATGAAGTTTGCATACCATAATTACCCACAATACTCAAGGGCAAAACAAATTTCTGCTGTCATCTTGAAGCCTATGGAAACTATGAATAGAGTGGGAGAGTGGGCCCTTCTCTATGTGAGTTGTGCCATGGAATAACCAAATCAGGGTGGAGGGTAAGTTTCTCTAGTAAAGATGAAGAAGAAATGCTTGAGTTCAAGAACCCACATTTTCATCTCCAAAGAAGCACTAACAAAGGAGGAGATGAAGACCACCTAAAGATTACCAAGAAACCGAGAAAGGAGGCTGAGATAGAGAGAGGATTCCTTCCCAAGAGCAAACAGCATCCTCCCCTACAGCTGGGGCCCCAAATTCGGACTTCTCATCCTCTCATCTTCTCAACAGTAAAGAAATAAATTTATGTGGTTTTTTTGTGTGGTTTTTTTTAAATTTTTTATTTTATTATTTTTTTGCATGCGTGTACCGTCAAATCAGATCTGACTGGTACAGGAGGAGATTGCCCCTCCTTCCCCGGCAGAGCATCTGGTCGATTAGAACCGTGCACCTCTGGGACTGTAGTTGCAGTTTCTTGCCACTAGGCCACCTGAGCTCCCCTAAATTTATGTTTTTAAAGCTACCTCTTTGTGGTATTTCTGTTGTAGCAGCACACTGAATGAGTTGAGCAAAGAGCATATGATCAAGAGCCAATGGTAACAAAGGAAGAAATTCAAGCTGCACCAAAGCCACTGGCAAAATATAAAGCCCCAGGAATTGATAAAAAACCAACTGACAGGTTTGAACAAAGAGATGCAGCTCTGAGTGTGCTCGCTAGTCTATGCCAAGAAATCTAGAAGACAGTTGCCTGGCCAAGTGACTTGAAGAGATCCATTATTTCTTCCTATTCCCCACAAAAAATGATTCAACAGAATATGCAAATTATTGAACAACATTAATATCACATGCAAATAAAATCTTGCTAAAGATTATTAAATTAAAGGTGGATTTGGAAGAGGCTATGACATGAAAGATATTATTGCTGATGTCAAATGGATCTTGACTAAAAATACCATAGAATACCAGAAAAGATGTTTCCTTGTGTTTTAATGACCACGCAAAGGTAGTTGATTGTGTGGATTATAACAAATTATGGATAACATTAAGAACATTTAAATTGCACTTATGCAAAAAACTATCTATAGACTAAGAAGTAGTTGTCCAACAGATGATGGGAACTATGCATGGTTTAAAATCAAGAAAGGTGTCAGTCTGGGTTCTATCCTTTCTCCATACCTGTTCAATTTATATACTGAACAAATAATAAAAGATGCTGAACTGTATAGAGAAGAACGTAGCATCAGGATTGGAGGCCGACTCTTCAACAACTTACATTATGCAGATGACAACTGCAGAAAGCACAAAGACTCAAAATACTTGCTACAGAAGATAAATACTATAGCCTTCAATATGGATTATAACTCAATATTACGTAAACAAAAATCCTTACCACTGGACCAATAGACAACATCATCATGATAATTGGAAACATTGAAGTTGTCAATGATTTCACTTAAACTGGATAGCAGCAGCCAAGAACAAAAGATGTGTTGCACTGGGAGAATCTGCAGTTGAAGACCTCTCCAATGTGTTAAAGAGCAATGATATGATTAAGTTATGCCTGAAAGCCATAGTATTTTCAATTGTTCCCTTATGCATCTGACTGTTGGACAGTGAATAAGGATGAAAAAACAAGCCTTTAAATTGTGGTGTTCACAAATGGTGAAGAGTGCAGAATAGTCTGTGGGCTGCCAAAACAACAAAGTGTATCTTGATGGCATTGTAATAAGGATGCTTCTTAGAGGCAAGGATGGTGAAATTCCAGCTCACATACTCTGGGTATGCTATTAGGAGGAACCAGTCCTTGGAAAAAGACTGACAGAAACTCAGTAAAAGAAAGGAAGACCCTTGAGGAGATGGACTGACCTAATGGATTTAAGCATGGCAGAGATAATGAGGGTGAAGCCAGATGGGACAAGATTCTGATCTGTGGTTCACAGGGACAGTACCAGTTGTAGTCTACTCAACAGTACACAACAAAAGTACTAAGACAGACTTATTGGCTATAGGTAACATCTGTTGATGGTTTCCAATACCACAAAGAGAGGCAATCAGACTTTATCTGTCACTGACAAGTAGATATGAAATCCTATCCCTGCCTCTCAAAATTAAAATTATGACTGATCCTGACCCTAGATCCAACTAATCACTTAATGCAAGATAGAGAAATCTGGGAAAGAGGTTAACCTACACAACAGGTACACAATCAACCAGTCAGAGTTGTTTCTTCATCAAATAAAATGCAAAAAAGAAAAAACAGATGCTGAGGAAACATGTAGATTAAGAGAAACTTTAAAAAAAAATATTTTGATGGGGGGGGAAAAAGAACATCAAAAGTAAACTACGCTATGGTATTAGGAAAGCAGGCTCTGGAGAGGAGAGCCTAAGGAAATGCAAGCACAGCTTCTGGAAAGGCCAGAAGCCCAATGTCTGGGAGGCGGGCTGTTCTCTGGAGGACCCACCAGACACAGAGGATGGCTGGGAGAGTTTTACTTCTTGATCAGCCACAGAGGTGATGGCTTTGTATCAATTCACTAAGCTCTTTATCTGATTTCAATGGAATTCTCAAAAAAAAAAAAAAAAGCAGATTTTTAAAAAATTAAATATCTCTGTCTTAACTAGGAAGACAAAAATAAAAAACCTTCTCAAAATCATTATTTAGACACAGGAGATTTTTATCTAGGCTTCTCTGCTTTGACTAGCCGAGGGTCTAACAAAAATATGGACAAGGGAAGGAAAAACAAAGAGAGATGGAAGATTACATGTGAATCACTTTAGAGCACTTCACCACAGAGTCTGAGTGGTGTGAAGACAAACTTACTTTAAAATATTAACAAGTTGTGCACAAGGCTGGAACCCAGAGCCTGTGTCAGTCAGGAGGAAGCTGTTTCTCAAGGAACTAGAGCAGAGGACTATCTGGAGCCACTACAGTGAGCAGAAAGGTGTCCATCAGAGACCCTACTGAGAAGAGAACCATAGCAGTGTACACACAACACTGCCCTGCAGCAGTGATCTGTTCTTGGAGGGAGCGGGTAGGCTTGCAGCAGTTGCAGACAAGAGTGATTGTGGTAAGTCATAATCTGCTGATGCCTGTAACGGACTCAACTGGACACCCCCAAAATATGTGTTGTAAATCCTAACCTCTATCTTTGTGGTTAGACTGCTCCTTGGAGATGAATTTTCTTTGTTATGTATTAGTGCAGGATGTGTCAAATTAGTCCCCTTTGAGATAAAAAATGAGCAGACTGAGTAAGTAACCAAGGAAGAAAGCAGAGGTGGGGGAAGGCAGTTGGCACATCACTTGAGCTTTCTAAGGAATCAGGAAACAGAAGCTGGAAAGAGATGAGGACCCTCCCCTAGAGCCAATAGAGAAGCCGACCCCTAGAGCTAAAGCACTGAACGGGGACTACTACTCCTCTGCGCTGGGGGAAAGATCTCTGCTTGTTAAAGACACCACCCTCTTGTGGTATTTCTGTTAGAGCAAAGCTAGATAAGGAAGACAAATATCAAACCAGTCTCACCCTAAAGTGTGGCCCCAACATGGGAAGGCACTAAGGCCCCAGAAACTGCCTTTTGATTTAAAAAAAAAAAAAAACCAAGGAAAGCTTGGCTGTATCCGAGTGCATTATTCTGGGCGGTAAGTGTGGCATGAGGAGGGGTTTTCAGCGCAGTCTTTAGGATTTCTCTGCATGGCAGCATGTGAGAATGGGGGTCAGCAAGGATGCTGAGTTTCCTTTCCACTAACTCACTGTGGTGTGGATTTTTCTGAATCACAGAAAAAGGGAGATGTCCAAATGATTCACACCAGTAACTGTGCATTCACCACGCTTACACCATGGGATGTGGGATGCAAAGACACTTTAAATGTGAAGAACATTTAACTTGAATCATATGGCGTACTAAAACCCAACCCAACCCACTGGCCTCCAGTCAAGTCTGACTCATGCAGACAGTTTACCAAGCTATATATCTTAATGAGAGGAGACCATCTTCTACAGAGTAGCTGGCCTTTTAGTTAGCAGCCCAGCACTTAAACTACTATGCCACTCTGTCTAGACAGGTGTGAAAGCTTAAATTTTCATCTCAGGGATGGAAATGAATATAAATGGATGCTATTATACAAAGAGGCAAAGCCTAACTGTTGCACACACAGATCAAGGTGATCTCTCATGATGTGTGTGCCCAGTACCAAGTATAAGTCTGGAGTCTAAAAGGGACATTTCTGTAAGAGCAAGGAACAAGAGGAGCAATAACTCTAAGAGACACATAAAACAATAAGGAAAGAAACCACTGGTGTTGCTATAGTTGCTGCTGCCTATCTTCGAGTCTTCAAGTGGCAAGAAAACCAGCCCAGCGACTCACAGGGGTTGTGGGAAGGAGTCTCGTGAGTGCAGGCCCACTGTGGGCACCTTCAGAGTGGCTGGCATACCTTGTGCAATGTGCAGCTCAAAGTTGCTCGCCACGAGCTCATATAGGCCCTGCTTCGGCTCGGGGGCTCTAGCTGGTTCTGCTTCTGGCTCTGGCGTCTAACAGAAGGAAACAAAAGAGCAGTCACTGAGTTTGTCTGCAACTAACTTAACTTCCAAGCAGTTTTCAAGGGCTGACTTTTCAGAAGTGGCTCACGAGGCTTTTCTTTCTAATTTGGTTAGGTGATACAATGGTTAATGTGGTTAACTGCTAACTGAAAGGCTGGAGATTCAAGTCCATCCATCTAGAAGCATCATGAAAGAAAGGCCTGGCAATCTACTTCTCAAAAACGTAGCCATTGAAAACCTTACGGAGCAGATATTCTCTAACACACATAGGTCACTGAGAGCTAGAATCCACATTACAGCACCAGGGTTTATTGTCTGTGAAGACACAGGGAACCCACTGAGGAGGCACCCTGTGTCTGTCAGAGCCATCCGCCACACCAGCACTCACGGGCACGCGTGATGCTGCCAGGTGAGGGACCACTCCGGGGGATCCACCGGTGCCGCGGCATCACGCTCCTGACGGCCTCTCTGAGCAAATCATCCAGGACTGAGGCTGCAGGCTGCTGCTGGGCGCCAACCCGACCCCACCATGGACTCTACCCCAAACCCAGAAAAGCAAGCAAACAAACTAAAGGACAATCCCACCACAGACTAGTATCTTGTGCCCTGCTTTGAAATGTCATTTGGGGTTTCAGGTAGCATTCCTGATGAGCACACAGTCTGAAGAGATAAGTGCTTAAGGATGAAACCAAGAATGAGAAACCATGAGGGAATAAGATGACCTGTTAAAACAGAAAGTACTGGGAGGGACGGTAAAAAGGCGATAAAAAATAAAGTAGATCGTGAGAAAATTCAAGGAATGAAAGGTAACAAAGAGGATACATCAAGGCAAGCATATGCTGTGCTTTTAAGAAAATGTAATTCATTGAACTAAGCTTGGCACAGGAACACAGAGCAAGGGGGCAAACAACTTTTAAAATAAAAATTTTCAAGATAGCTTTTTAAAGGAACCTCCACCAGCAACTGAGTTAGTTACACTGTTACTGCTGTTAAATTGCTGCTGAGTTGGCCTGACCCATGATAATCCTGATGTGAGCCTCCGGAATCTCATTTGAAAGTAGACTGCCAGGCTTGCTTCCTCGTCCACCTTAGTCTGGAAACCCTACTGAAACCTGTTTTAGGATCACAGTAACACTCAAGCCTACAATGGCAGGTGGGTAGTGACTCAACATAAAGCACACTGGCTGGGAATCGAACCCAGATGTCCTGCAGGGAAAAGAATTCCACCATTATAACCCCCTGCCCTTGCCCTAGTATTGCACAATTCTAAATGCCTCTCCTTTTGAATCCAGTACACCTGCACCTGCCCCCATAGAAGCCAGAGAAGGAAAGAGAACTGACAGCTGCCTTGCTGCAGACAGGTTAAGTATATACGGTCCTTAATTTTCACCTGTTGCTCAAAGTCAAGTTAAGGTGTGAAGGATTCAGAAGTGCTGACAGCTAAAAGCCATGCAGAGCTGTACGCATAAAGAGCCATGAGTTGTCCTATCTGCTGCTAGCTAGTCACAACTTTCAAACCGTTACTGTTCATGTAAAAGAATGCCCAAGAGCATAACAGTTAAGGGAATAGCCAGGGAGGTCATATAAGGTGAAACGAGACGCTGTGTCTCAGTCTTTACTAAACTGTTTACTGGGGTGCCACTGTGTCCCTGTTCCTTGGCGGATACGACAACCTTTTCCTCATCAAGGGAATAAATGCGTAATAGAGACGGCACACTCATAGCCTGCTGGTGGCAAAATAGGCTAGTATGATTCTTAGGGCAGCAAGCTGGCAATATTCACTGACATAAAAATTGTTTTGCTTTGCAATTTTATGTTTTGGAAACAGTCTAAAGGAAAGAAAAAATCCTTTGTAAACAAAAATTTTTGTTACAGCATTATCAGTGTAAGAAAAATTATAAATAAAAGCTATGAACTGATAGGAGAACAGTTGTTTTTTGTTGTTGTGTACCATGGAGTTAGAACCTACTGACCATAGCTGACCCTCCAGCAGGTTTTCAGAGCCTGTAAACTGCACAGGAGGCAGCCGTCCAGCATCTTCTGAGGAGCAGCTGGTGGATTCAAACTGCTTGCCTTTGAGTTGGCAGGACAACTCCTCACCACTAATCTATCAAATATAAAGACTTATACAACAAAACGTCATTAATGTGATGAAGTATGTATAAAAATACAGAAGTAAACATAAAAATATACAAACTGAAAAAAGGGAAGCTACAGACTGGGAAAAAGTCTTTGATAATGACATGTCAGATAAGGGACTTATATCTAGAATTTATAAAATATTTGAGCACCACAACAAGATAAGGGTAAATACTCCAATAGAAAAATGGGCACAGGATATGAACAGACACTTCACCAAAGAAGACATTCAGATGGCC